TTGGACTACAACTCCCATCATCCCTCACCACTGGTCCTGCTGACTAGGGATGATGGAAATTGTAGTCCAACAGCTGGGGACCCAGGGTTGAGAAAGGCTGGTCTACACCAACTGGCAGCCGTTCTCCATGGTTTCAGATGGATGTATTTTCCAGCCCTACTTGGAAATCCCGTGGCTTGAACCTGGGAACTCCTGACTGGAAAAGCAGATGCTTGACACCTGAACTGCAGCCCTTCCCATAAACCTTATGGGGTTGATACTCTTTTTATGTATACAATATTTTTTATTAAATTTTCAATTTTACATTTTCCTTTCCATGGTTCATTTTGCATATCACACATCCCTGCATATTTTACTATAACCATTCAAATCAGTTTTCCACTTTTACATCCATCAAAAATTATTTACTCTGTTGAATTTATCTTAATGCTGCCAGCGTTTTCAGCTGTATACAGTTATTTTCCATATATTCAACAATGTTTTCCAGTCTTCTTTAAATGTATGTTCTTCTTGCTCTCTTATTCTGTATGTTAAATCTGCAAGTTCTGCATATTCTGTCAACTTAAGTTGCCAATCCTTTTTAGCTGGGACCTCACTCACTTTCCATTTTGGGGCTAACAAAACACGGGGTGCAGTTGTTGCAAACACAAATAACCTTTTCTGACACCTAGGAATTTCAATCTGGGTTATCCTCAACAAAAAGGACTTTTGTTTTTTGGGGGGAAAGTAGTTTTAAACATTTTTTTCAATTCATTGTAAATCATTTCCCAATATACCTTAACTTTTTTACATGTCTGCCACATGTGAAAAAATGTGGTTGATATTATTGACCTGCTATTTTAATAAATTGCAAGCCTTTTATTTAGCCTAGCAGTACTTCACCTCCATTTTGTGGAGACATCTGTGTATGTGTATGTCAGGTGGCGGTGGTGTGGTTTCTCGAGAGCAAACAGGCAAGACTCCAACCTGTCTTTTCCAGGCTTTATTATTTGTACAAACTATTTTACATTGCAGAGTGTTGCAAGTCCATGTCTGCTCAGTTGCTAGCAGAATCTGGGAGTGGGCGGTTCTTCAACTTGCCCCAGCATAGCAGTCTTTTGACCCCCATCCCACGCCTCCTCTCTCTGCGCGTAAACCGACTGCGCAGAGAGGGCGTGGGCAAAGGGGGACCTGCTTCCCCCCCCGCTTTGCTCAGGCTCAGTGTTGCGGCTCTCTCTTGCATCTTCTGAGCCCTTCCTCCCCTCCCCACTGGAGGCGGGGCTTCCTTCCTTGCCGGAGGAGGAGCTGCTTCTCAAGATCTTCAGAGGCTCCCTGTAACCCAACTGCCCTTCCACCTCTTGCCTCTGAGCTGATAGCAGTTCCCTGACAGTGTAGAATTATTATTATTTTAGATTGAGATTTATGAGTCCAACTGGGATGAAAGCTGCCCTACATTCTGAGCTTTCAGATTGTACCTGTGGGAGCACAGCCTATTTAGTGCAATGCTCTGTATTCACCCCTGTGAATCATGACATCCTGTGTCACGATGGGCCATTCTTTGGCTGGCACCGTTGAGGGGCACAGCTCAGTGGCAGAGCCACTGCTTTGCATGCCAGAGGTCATGGGTTTGATCCCCCGCATCTCTGGGTAACACTGGGAAATCTCCCCTGTCTGAAATTCCAGAGAGCTGCTGCCAGTCAGTGTAGACAATACTGAAATAGATGGCTCAGTGGTCTGACTCTGCAGCAGCTTCCTATTATCACATGTGTGAGTTTTGACACAGTCTAACTGAAGGGTCAAAAATAAGCAACATCAGAATGGTACCTAGAATTATTTCCTGATACAAATAAGCTAATAAAAGATTCAGTGCTCACATTTCTCCTTTCTGATCAAAGGCCTTGGAAGACGATACTTTTGTTTTAATTGCAATTTGTATCTCAGGTTTTTGTCTTTTGCAGTATATGGTATTTTAAATACGCCCCCCCCTTGCATTAGCATTAGCTTGCATTTTGAACAAGCATAGGTTTTAAATGCTCATGTTTTATTCTGTTATTACTTTGTTTCAGTGGGTATGTGATGGTAACAAAATGATTGATTGATTGATTGACTGATTGGTGGAGGTGAGCAACATCTGAGCAGGCTTCACCATGCCAACCACACACACGGAACAGGTGCAAAGAAAAGAGATTAGCTTGTAATAAGCCCTGGTTTTAATTATGAACATATTACGGTGCGGGCATATCACAGCCAGCGCTCATTATACAGATGGGAATTATGAACAGGCAAGATTTGTAATGTGGATCAACTAATTAGAAGTTTCAGCAGCATCTCTTAGATTCCCCCAACCATGAGACACTGGGGGAATATAGCATCCCGCAATTAGTCCAGTGTTAGCAGGTGGTAAAAGGAGAACAGTGAAGGCACCAGCCTCATATCAATAGGCAGGGAGTTCCAAGGTTGTGGGTGCTGCCAAGATTGATTTCATGCAAATGTGGAATGAGTGTTACATGGCACCTGTAATAATGCCAGTTCAGCACATATCATTCATGTGTCTTGGGCGGGGGGTAGTATCCATGCTTGTATATATGGGGTGAAACCAGGTTTGTTGGATATTACACAAACCTTTATTTATTTAACCTATTTATTGTCTGTCTGTCTGTCTGTCTGTCACCATGTAATTCAAGGAATTTTCAGCATTGCTTAGATCAAGCAGAATACAAACCCCACTGTCTCCCCACGATGCAGAATTTTCAAAACTTTACATGACCCCTTTTATTTAACCCCCCCCCCCCCGCTAAATAGACTGACCCACTGTCTAGCCTATGGGCTGTCCTGTAGATTTTGCTAGACTCCAGGTTCCACCATCTTCTTGGTGTGATTACAGCCAATCCGGGATCCTGTTGCAAGCAAGTTGTTGCCCTGATGCTACACAGCCAAGCAGAGCCAAAAGCAGCCAGGTATGATGGGAGTTGAAGTCCAGCAACATTGGTGTGTGTGTGTGTGTGTGTGTGTGTGTGCGCGCGCTCACCCAGACTTTCCATGTAGCTAAGCACACTTTCAGCCTAAATCCCCTTCCTTCTTGGCACTGCTAGACCACTAGAAGTACAGGTCTGTTCTGTAATGGAAGGAGAACGGCTCAAACTGAGAAATGCTGTAATGCTATTGCGACTGCCTTTGCCAGCCTCAAAGGGCTGGGAGATGTAGTGTGCACATCTGCGAGATGCTGGCCTGCCTGGGGCTCTGTAGCTCAAGTTTTAAAGAACTGGAAGAGGCAGATACAATAGCAAAGCAGCCTCCTTTTCAATCCTAGAAAATAGAATTGCTGCAGGAGCCTGCTCCATCCATTTACCCCCCTTCCTTCCTTCCTTCCTTCCTCCCTTCCTTCCTCCCTTCCTTCCTTCTTGAAAGGCAGAGCCTTTCCTATCAGAAGAAGGGCAAGATTTGCCACTACCACACCAAAAGGACACAGCACACATGCTGTCCTGAGAAAACCCCTTGATCCTGATTTGATTATTTGATAGATTTACAAAAAGAAAAGCACACACCAATAAATAAATTGTAGAAAGGGGCAAGATGAGACATGGATGCACAAAGCATAAAAAAAAAAATCAAGACTCATTGCGCTCCTCCCTGCTCCCCCTTCCTTCCCGTCCAGGGTGGCCCTGCCCCTAACTGCACCTCAGAGCCAGCACGCCATGCAGGGCTGGGCCTTGTCAGCAGCAGTCTCATTGCCTCCTCCTCTCCAGCAGCTGCTATGAGAGCCAGCGTGGTGTAGTGGTTAAGAGCGGTGGACTCGTAATCTGGGGAACCGGGTTCGATTCCCCGCTCCTCCACATGCAGCTGCTGGGTGACCTTGGGCTAGTCACACTTCTCTGAAGTCTCTCAGCCTCACTCACCTCACAGAGTGTTTGTTGTGGGGGAGGAAGGGAACGGAGAATGTTAGCCGCTTTGGGACTCCTTAAAGGGAGTGAAAGGTGGGATATCAAATCCAAACTCCTCCTCCTCCACCACCACCACTTCTTCTCCTTCTTCTTCTTCTTCTTCTTCTTCTTCTTCTTCTTCTTCTTCTTCTTCATTAAAGTGGTGGTCATGGAAAGTCTATGGAGAGGCAATGGGATGCTCCCTCAAGGCTATCATTGCCAACTCCTCTGCTACTCAGGACAAGCACTGGCTCCTCCTGCTTCCTGAACTCAGCACTGGTGGGGGAAAGAGAGACATTCCGGGATCAAGTCAGAAACCGGGATGGCACTCATAATTCCAGAACTGTCCATGAAACATAAGGACACTTGGAGGGTATGCAATATCAGGAGGGCCACTGGTTTTACAACCTTGCTATGAAGACACATAATTGTGGGAGAATCTCAAACTTTTTTTGTCTTAAAAAGTTTGGATCATGTGTTGCAGCATAACGTGAGAGAGAGAGAGAGGGGCAGAGAGACAGAGAGAGCGCGTGCACATTTAATGAACATTTATTGAAGCTTCCCGGTATTGTTTTTATTATTGTTAATAATTGTCGCACCTTTTAGCAGACCTTGTCAGTCATTACTTTGAAAGCCCAAAGCCTTTCCGTTCTATAATTAGTAACTGCCACAATGCCTTCCGTTTGCTTAGAGCTCCTTATCCAAGAATGTTAAAAAATATATCACAAGTGTTAATTAAAGTCTTACAATATCCAGGTCTGGGTGATAAAGATAATTGCTTCGCATTCAGAGTGAAAAGCCGTAGGCTCAGAGGGTGTGGAACACAGGGACAGGGAGATGGGTTTGTGTGTGTGTCTGACTGTACATCGGAGCGAAGGCCAAGTTGGTCCAAACCACGGAGAGCAAAACTCAAAAGTTTGATCTTCAATGCCCTTGCTTAATTTTCTTTTGACTTTCTTGTATTTTTGTTCTCCCGTTGGGGATGCAAGACACCTGAATAGTAAGAGCAGAGGAAGCTGCTGTTGGTCCATCTAGATCAGTATTGTCCACACTGACTGGCAGTAGCTCTCCAGGATTTCAGACAGTTTTTCCAGCTCTGTGTGGAGATGCCAGGGATCGAACCTGGAACCTCCTGCATGCAAAGCAGGGGCTCTAACCACTGGGCTACAAGCCTTGCCAAAATGACCGCTTTGTGGGTCCTTATTGCATGTCCCTTCTAGCTATTACTCCCTCTCTCTTGGAAAAAGAACAGACCAAAAATCCACTCCTATGTCTTTAGGGCTGGGGGAACAGAAAGGTTGCATTGTTGGAGTAGTGTGTGCATTTTTCCCCATTGGGAAAACAAGCACCACTTCCACATCCCAGCAGGGTACAAAAAGGGCATCTCAGTGGAGCTGCCCTTAGGCCTGGTTCAGAAGTTCCATCAGTTACAGAATGCAATGGCCAGGTGATGGGATGCATCTGGCCAACAATGGGTGACGCCATTGTTTAAGCATCTGTTCTAGGTGCCTATCTACTACTGAGCTAGGTTCAAGGTCCTTGTATTCATTCACAAAACCTTGACCAACTTAGGTCCAGGGTACCTCAGGGACCCTCTGAACTGTTGCATCCCAGCTCCATCACCAAGATCATCTGTTGGAGCATCACTGGTCATTCCCTAAGTTGGCAAGACTCATTTGATGACAGCAAGAAAAAGAGACTGGAATGTCACTGGCCCAGGCCTGTGGAACAGTTTGCCAATAGAGCTTTTTTTCTGTGCGAGCTTTTGAGTGTCTGCTGAAAACTTTTCTTTTGTGTTGGGCTTATGCAGGTAAATAAGATTACATCTTTGCAAAATAGTTGCCTGCTTTCTGATTTCAACTTTTTTGTTCCACGTTCTCTCTTCCTGTGGTCTTCAGCAACTGGTTCAGACAGCTCCCCATGTTTGTGCATTTGTGGAACGCACAACTACACACAGCTGTGGAGACAGTGCTTAGCCATCATAGCTAGTAGACATTGAAAGCCTTCTCATCCATGAAAATGTTTTCTTTTCAATGTAGGAGAATATTTTAAAAACATGATCCTCAGCTCCTGTATTGTCAAGCCCTATTGCCCTTTCCACTTCCTTCTACTGTAAGGATGGGCAAATCTGTCAGTTTCAGGTTATTTGCTTCCCATTTTCCTCATTTCAAGTTCTGTTCTCCACATTTCCACATTTGTTTGTGAATTTATTTATGTTGCTCAAAAATACCCAGTAGTATTTAGTAGCATTTTGGTCCAAGTTACTCACATTTTGGTATTTAACTTTGCCCAGTATATGCATTTCTGCATAGCACATCCCCCCCAAAGTGTGCATTTATCTATGTGACTTTCCACCAGTGTATGCAATTATATGCTATGCACACGTTACCCCTGTATATGCATTTTTTGACACTGCTCGGCAGGAAAACTGCATTGCAAAATTCAGTGAAGTGCAACTTTAGAAGGATGGCTGCCTTTCGGTTTTCATCTTGTTTTTGGAAAGTGCAAATTTGGTAGATTTGCTTTTAAATGCAAACAAAATTACATGTATCCCCCATCCCTAGTGGACGGTGCTTCAACTTAAATAGAAACGGGATAGGGGTGGCGCTGTGGGTTAAACCACAGAGCCTAGGGCTTGCTGATCAGAAGGTCGGTGGTTCGAATCCCCATGATGGGGTGAGCTCCCGTTGCTCGGTCCCTGCTCCTGCCAACCTGGCAGTTCAAAAGCACGAAGTGCAAGTAGATAAAAAGGTACCACTCCGGCGGGAAGGTAAACGGCGTTTCTGTGCGCTGCTCTGGTTTGCCAGAAGCAGCTTAGTCATGCTGGCCACATGACCTGGAAGCTGTTCTCCTGCTCCCATGGCCAGTAAAGCGAGATGAGCGCCACAACCTCAGAGTCATCCATGACTGGACCTAACGGTCAGGGGTCCCTTTACCTTTAAATAGAAACATTCATTCAATTTAAATAGACATTTTAAAGGATAACTGCATTTCAGTTCTCATATGTGATCTCAGAAGTGTGAATGAGGGATGGTGCAAATGATTTTTGAAAGATGCATTTTGCTTCACCTATTGTTTCAGAAAGTATGACTTAGGTGGGTTTGCCTTCAACCATGACCGGAGTTAAATTTCTCCTCCCCACCCCTGTTCTAACATTTTCCCCTTTAAGCCAGCTCAACCTCCTCGTTCTAGCCTCATTCAACTGGAGCAGGCTTCAACCCATTCAGACCCCAAATCCAGGACCCACCTCTAACCCAGACATGCATCTGAGCAACTCATTTCTTAACCATTCACCTTATATTTGTCTGGCTCCTTTTACAACCCACCTTGAATCAGGCAGTGGCCTGATAGTGGTCCGGGTCCACCAGTTGAAGAACAGTGTTGTACTGTACATATAGACCAGGCTTCAGAGAAGAAGTTCTTAGGAAACACTTTCAAGTGAAACACCTTTTCCTAGGAAATATCTGCACTGGGAATGTAACTTCTCCTCTGCTTTTTGTAATGAGTTCTGCAGATAAAAGGAAGAATTCTCTCTTTCTCACTCTCCCCACCCCCACCTCTCTCTGTTCTGTGCCAATCTTCTTGGCCCCCCTCTCTGGCCCCCTCCCCAGCCCTTTGTTTCAGGGATATGTTACTTTTCTCTTTGCCGCCGCTGGGTGCGACTGAGTCCCCCCCCCCCGCTGCGCCGGCTGAAGCAACTGCATCAAACGAGCGCCCTTCTTTTAATTGCCTCGACAACCTGCAAACCAATAAAGCGTCCTGTGTTCTCGGGCCTTGTGAAAAACACAAAGACATCAATACGATGTCACTTCACTCCAGCGTGGTTTTGTCTTGTAATTTATTGACACAAGCTCAGCGTGGAGCCACAGGGACGCAGAAAGAGTCTGTACAGCATGCTCTCACCTCTCCTCCGCCCCCTCCTTTGTATTTCTTTCTTATAAAACAGAGACCCTGGATCCAAGACTTGGGTGAGGTGACCCTGGGGATCAAAGGTCAGGGGAAAAAAAAGTATTTGGGCCACTACCGTGCTGATTTGTCTTTGCCCTAAACCTTCAGGGCTGGGGAAGGGAGATGACAAACTATAAATAAGGCAACCCTTCCCTTTCATCCTATTCCACCCTGTTGTGCATCCATGCAGGAGAATGAGCTGCAGGAGAAGGGTGTGAAAATAACTATGGAAAGGGCTGGGAAAGCCTCCTAAAGGTAAAGGTAAAGGACCCCTGACAGTTAAATCCAGTCACAGACGACTCTGGGGTTGCGGCGCTCATCTCGCTTTATAGGCCGAGGGAGCCGGCGTTTGTCTGCAGACAGCTTCTGGGTCATGTGGCCAGCATGACTAAGCCGCTTCTGGCACAACACCGAAACCAGAGCAGCGCATGGAAACGCCATTTACCTTCCTGCTGGAGCGGTACCTATTTATCTACTTGCACTGGTATGCTTTCGAACTGTTAGGTTGGGAAGAGCTGGGACCAAACCTGGGGTTGCGGCGCTCATCTTGCTTTATAGGCCGAGGGAGCCGGCGTTTGTCTGCAGACAGCTTCAGGGTCATGTGGCCAGCATGACTAAGCCGCTTCTGGCACAACACTGAAACCAGAGCAGCGCATGGAAACGCCATTTACCTTCCTGCCAGAGCGGTACCTATTTATCTACTTGCACTGGTATGCTTTCGAACTGTTAGGTTGGGAAGAGCTGGCACCGAACAACGGGAGTTCACCCCGTCACGGGGATTCGAACCGCCAACCTTCTGATCGGCAAGCCCAAGAGGCTCAGTGGTTTAGACCACAGCACCACCCACGTCCCTCTTGGGAAAGCTTCCTAGAAATGTGCAGTTGACATTTGTATGTTTTCTGATTTATGGTTATGGGGGCTGGCCCATTAGGGCAAAGGGGGTGCTGTCCTACCAACTTCTGTCTGCCCTCATGCAGAGCCCAGCTGCCCTGCCTTCTGACTTGCAGCTTGTTCAGGGAGTTGTAGTGACTGTCGGCTTCCGCTCCTCCTCCTTAGTCTCAATGTTGCCTTTGTAGGGCTTGGCAGGTTAGAGGAGGGTGGGGGCTTGAATGAGTTGTCACTGCATAATATTGGCCTCCATGCCTTCCAACCTACAAGGCCCAACAGGCATCATTCTGGGAAGCCAGGATGAGTTCTGTAGCCTTTTTGAGATGTGCCCACACTGGGTTCGTTCATGCAACGTCAACCCAAATTTCTGCACTACAAGAATGACTGCTGTGGTTATGAGCTCCTTGCTTTCCTTTCTGCAAGTTGATTTCCACCCTCATTGCCTATTTAGTGGCAAACCACACTTTGCTACCACATTTGGGCAAACTGTGCTTGCACAAACCATATCCCACCCCTCAAAAGTGGACTTTAGCTGGGTCCCACATTGGTCAAAAGGCAATACGGTATGTTTTGTACAAATCATAGTTTGCCAGGTTTGTCACAACAAGCCATGGTTTGGCTCTATATTTAGAAATTTGACGTGCTCTGTGTGCGCTAAAGCCCATGCATTTCCAGGTGAGAGGATTAGAGTGCATCAGACAGAAAATGCATTTGCTTGAGACCTTGGAGAGCTGCTGTCGGTTAGAGTAACAATTCTGAGCCAGAATTGATCCAGCATGGTATAAGGCAGCTTCCTATATGGCTGAGAGAGTGGTTGGAATTAATGCAGCACATGGTTTGAAGACTCTCAAGTGGTAGTGGTTATTAGGCCTAAGCCAAAATGTGTAGCTTTTTGTAAAACGGTGCCCCTCCCCTGTACCAAAGACACCCCCTCACTATGTCTTAAGGTACAATCAATCAGTGGCAAAAAAACAAAACAAAACGACATTAACCGTATCTATAGAGTTATGTGTAGCTAATTATTGTCCAGAAGATAGTGATAGAAGATAGCTTCTATTTCCTTGAATATTACAATTTGCTGTAGGAAATAAATTGCATGAATTTTCAGCTCAGTGCAATATAGATTGGTGTTTTGGAAATGGCACCATTTCAGCAACTGTATCGTGACCAATTGTTATTATTATCATTAATCGATTCCATTGAATTTCATCCAAACAATTATTAGTCTCAGAAACTCTGTACGGCTGAGATGTGTTTACAATAGTGCAAAACCATTACACAGATGTATGCTATAAGAAAATAAGAAGAGCCTGTTGAGTCAGGCCAGTGGCCCATCT